AACATAACTATCAAGTTGCTGAGGAAGTCTCAAATAGAGACGAAACGTTCAACGGATAAATATTGTGTTCATCTTAATTAAACCCGTCCAAAAAAACAACTTCCCTAAGAGTAAACTTAGTAATAATTGTAGTAAATATTTTTGAAATTTGTCTGTCTCTCTCGTTTATTTCATACATTCATTTAATCGACAAAAAACTAGGCTTGGATCTAATAAAACTTTGAGAAAAGAATTATTTATTTTAAATTAAAAAATTCAAAAAATAGAGTAAAAAGAAGTAAGCCAATATCAGAACAATTAAATTCTTTAATTGTTGTCAGTCGGGTTTTGAAATACACTATTCAATCTTCGTTTATAATAATTATTGTATATGCGTGATACTCTGTCCGATATAAATTAATTCGACGTCGATGAAATAATGAATAACACTTGTTTCTTATATATATTCTTTTTCTTCAGCCCTCTTAAAAATTATATATACCTATGTATATATATATATAATTTTTTTTCTTTTTTTCTTTTTTCTCTTTTTATTTTTATATTTTTATTAGTACTATGAATCCTTCCTGTCAATGAAATTGCATAAACACATATTACAATGTTTAAATAAACGATGATATCTCCACCGCACATACTTTTTATCTTGTTTTTTTTTTTATTTATTAATTTTATGTTTTTATCGTGTGTCAGAAGGAGTTTAAGAGAAAGGGGTTGTACGACTTATATATATCACGATATAATGTATATAAGGTAAAAAGTGAGAAAGGCAGAAAAAAGGAGAGAGAAAGAAAGAGAAAACATACTTTCTTCCTTCTCTTTCCCTCACATTCTCGTTCTCCATTTTTTGTCTTTCGGTGTGAGGTGAAAACAAAACATAGCTCATGAAAGAAAAAATCAAAACACAGATGTAACACATTGATCGTTCATATTTAGCTTTTTTTTCTCTCGCTCTTACTTAAAAAATTCGTGATTATTTATTTATATAATATATGCAAGTGTAATTCCCGTTTAAACATCAACTCGCGAACGATAATATATAAACGAGTTGATTTTATAATATTTAATTGTGCTAATATTTCCTTTACAAACTGTACAAACTCTTACGACAAACTAAAGACATCCAGCTTGTTGTACTAGAAATAATAATAATAATTAATAATATAATATAATATATA